ATGTTCCAGAGTCTGTAAAAAAGCTTTTACATTCGGTTTGTTGTAATCATAATACTGTTTGTATTTCAGGTCAATTCTGCTAGAGTCCAAGTTTCTATCAAAGATTTGGAAGATGGGTGAGTGGTGTGATATACGGTCAGTCAGTATTCCAGAAGCTACTATACTCTCTACGTCGTTAGTTATTATGTTATCAATACAGGATGCTTTGCAGCCTGGTTTCTCATGTGTTGCTAACGAAATTAGGGGGAAAAATCCTTTACTTAATAGTATTTCTTCATAGCGTTGTACGATTGTGCTATTCTTATCGTGTAAATCAATGTTAAAATCACCCGCTAGGTAACTACACTTGGGGAGACTGTCAAGGATGTCAGAGAGTTCAGATAGTGCAACATTGACATTACCACTTGGAGGACGGTACATTACACCAACTGTTACTGGGGAAGTTGTACTACTTACGGCCACAAAAAGAGTTTCTAAATGTTCAGTGATATGGGATACATTGCCGTTTACTCTGGCACTAAGAGTGTCACAAACATAGAGAGCCACTCCAGTGCCCTTTTTTTATCTGGTATTGTGTTTTGGTAGAAACTGTTGTATCCAGTTAATTGATACAAACTGCTGGATTCAGGACCTTCATTTGTTTCCGCTAAGGCTATGATCGAGAATTTCTTGGTGAGCCTATGGGATTCAATAGCGAAAGTGTCGAAATTTGACTTATTGCCGTCGATGTTTTGGAAGAGAAGCGATGAAAATTCATTCATTTGATTATCTAGTGCTTTGTTGAATTCCTTGACATTGTACGATACGCAGTTATTTAGTATTTGATCTACTTTTATGATAGTGTCATCCACTTCACTACTTTCAATATCACTTAAATTAGTGCATGCAAGTCGAAATGGATTGTAACGAATAACTGCTAAATGTACGCACTTGGGACAGTAAAAATCGTCAGATAATGTGTCATTGTTAATGGATTTGGTATAGCACTTATGGTGCATTGGGCAGTCGCATTCACAGCATTCAACAATGAATTGTCCTACGTTAATGAACTTCGCACAGACTAGGCATACCTCTTTACTCAGGGGAGTCAGAATGGCTGGTAACCATCCTGGTGTCGAGACTCAGCAGCAGTAGTAGAACCCGTCCCACTCAACACGTTCCGATATGAGCGTCCATCAACCTCGTCTGTTCTCCTTTTCCTTCTATCAACTCCTCCATTCATTCTAAGAAGCACTGTGTTACGAATCAAAGTGCCTAGTTTAGCTGTACCCCTCCAGTTAAGGTGGAGATAATCTGGTCGCTGGTCTCGGCCGATGTTTCTGGAGAACTGTTGGCTAAGAAGCCCAGCATCATCACAGAACCCACCGAACCCATCAACGTAAGTCACACCAAAATTTGAAGGGATCAGCTCTGTCAGAATAAGGCGGTTAAAGCAAACAACTTTTCTATTCAGTTCAGCAAGCTTTGTAGGCAGGGCTGGACAAACATATACATGTGCCTTAGGGTTAATAGCATGAATTTTCTCAATCTTTTTAATAAAGGGAATAAATACATTTCGTTTAATATCAGCTGTATTCTTGATCTCAGGTTTTTTAAGATCATTAATCGCACACATCAAAACAACGTTACGATAACCACATGTGACATATGGGTCAATCTGGTCAACCACTGGTGCAAAATATTGCCTCCCAGGGAACCATTGTCCAAACGATTTCCTGGCATCTGACCCAAACTTAAGCCCCCCTGTATGACTGTCTCCTATGATGCACGTAGAGTTCTTGTTCCTGAAGCTAACTGAACGAAAAGTTAGGCTGTATCTGACCCCACCAGTTATTGCCCCATCCATGATACAGTGGCTGTAATACTCTTGGCTACTTCGTGTCATGCGATACATGGATCTTGGAACACATGGGTGGTCAAGGACTATATCATCCGTCTTCTTGTCAAAGAATTTGATGCTGCACTGGCCTCCGATGGACACAGTGAAAATTTCGGATTCGGGGTGGATGGTGGCTTCATCATCCGAATGTTTTGGTAGGGAGCCATCCTCTTTGAAGCGGTTGATCAGCAGACTATTGATCTTCGGTTTCTCACCACTACAGAATGCCCCATTGATTTTGTCCATCAGTTTGGAGAAGCTGGTTGACTCTAGCTGACCATTGGGTGACTTGGAGCCATTATACTTGTATGGTTCTCCCAGAGAATACACAGCACGAGCTCCTTCCACTGGGCCGCGCTCAGCCTGTCATTCCGCCAAATCTATATATATTCTATTATGTTAATGAACATAATAGCCTGGGGTCCTCAGGTAATATTCTATGTTAATGAACATAATAGCCTGGGGTCCTCAGGTAACTATGTTATCGTTCATACTTTTTATTTGCAAAGCAACGATAGCTGGAAGGGTTGACATCGTCAATCAAAAATGCCAACTTATTGTAGAATTAAGCAAGTTCTGTCGACAGGATGTGGCCCTTGCGTGGTCCTCAGTGAATATACGAAATTGGTTTACGCGAAATTAAATCAGAATGTAGCCATGCTTTTCAGCGCTGTTTTACGAATGCCGCGCATTATGCATTGTTGCTGCCACATCTTTGGTCGCATCGTGCTGACATTGTCTATCATTATATTATTTATTTTGATAATTCTAAATTTGTGTGTTTTAGATTAATTTTTGTGTGTTTAGATGGAAGTGGTGTTAGTGAGTCTGGTGAAGAAATATTACCTGTAATACGTATACCCCCAGAACTTGTACCACTTACCCATGCTTTTAGTATTTCTACAATATGGTCTACGACTTTTACACAGCATAATACCTCATGATATCGTTTATCTTAAATTCTCTTTGCTGTATTGTATATAGCTTCCTTATAGCTAAGGAAGTCTTCAAGGAGTTTAACCTGTTCATTAACACAGAGAAAACAGAATTTACCCATGTTTTCCTCGCTCCTGTTGGGGAAACAATCCCTGGTCGTGATGATACCATGTTACGCGGAAATGAAGATTGGCGGAAGAGTAAGATTCTTGGGTCATTGTTGTGTAGTGAAAGTGATATAGCTGCTCGATGCATTGCTGGGAACAATGCCTTCTATAAGTTCACCAAGATCTGGTCTCAGCAGAATATCTCCGTTACCAGAAAGATAGCAGTATACGAAGCTCAAATTGTATCAATCATCATGTACAATTGCAGTAGTTGGTGTCCTACTGCAAAGTCACTAGAAAAACTAGACATTTGCCATAGAAAACACCTTAGATCATTACTGAACATTTATTGGCCTCATGGAACAATATCCAATGCAAACTTATACCTAAGATGTAACTCAGTAAAGCTATCAGATCGTGTCCCTAAAGCAAGGTGGAAGCTCCTAGGTCATATCTTGCGTAGTGCTGATGACTCCCCCGCTGCATTAGCGTTAAAGTTTGCTGTCACAACAAACTGTAAAGGGCGCGTCGGTGCGCATCGTAAGAATTTGTTCAAGATTATTGTGAATGATTTGACCCGTAGAGGTTTAAAACTTAACTCTTTGAATGATCTTAATAAGCTTAAGATATTAGCCGATGATAGAGTTGCTTGGAGAAACAAATTTTAACTCTATCTGTCTTGATCTGTACTGATCACCATTTTAGGATGACTTGATTTCTTTTAGGGGTTTTGAATATTTTAACGGTGTAAACAGTTTCTTAATAATGTATTGTATATGTACTATTTGTAAAAGTTTCAAATCAAATCAAATCATAACATACATGTATAAACATACTTCATACTTGGAGGACTTCGCCGCTTCAATGAAACGAAAAGTTTTCAATGAAACGAAAGCAGTGGCGTTACGAAGGGCCCCGCCGACCCTGTTGTGCGGGGGGCCGGGGGCACCATCTTAGGGGGGCACTAATTCGTCGTTTAAATGTGGGACAATTTGGAAAAACTTAACTACGATACTAGCAAAACTGCTAAATTATAGACGCCACACAGGTCCCAAAATAGATCAGATGCAATAAAGCACATTTCACTGAAGCCTTCGCCAAAGTTAACCTTCTTTATATAATGAACTGAGTGCATGGCAACTAAGATGTTTCATACCTTTTAATTGAACAAACATCTTGAGATAACTTAGCTATAACTTTAAGATTTAGTTTTTATTTCAGAGTTGGGAAGGAGCAAAACTTTTCCAGACCTAAATAGGTTCCATTACAACCCAGAACCCAAAACTTAGGAGCTAGGTGGCCTAGTGGTTAGAGCATCAGCCTTCTGCGCAGAAGGTTCAGGGTTCGAATCCCAGTGTCACCTAGTCTAGGGAGAAGCTAAGGATCCAATGTGATCTCCTCGGTTGACTCAGCCAAATGATAGGAAACTTAATTGAGGGTTAAATGAGGAGGGGTACCTGTTAAAAATTCAAGAAACTTCCTAGTAGGATACCCCTTCAGTGCATACTGTAAACATAGTACTATTAACTATTAACTATTATAAACTAAATTAAACATTGACTAGCAGATCGAGGAATAACACTTCTTAGTCACCAACATTTAATGCTAACAAATTTTGGATACTACATAAATTGATCGATTGTATTGGTCGATTGGTGATAAATAATAAATACCCAGACCTTCTGCTCAGAGCAACCGCCTGAGAAAAAGGTGCCACCAGACACTAAGTCTAGGGAGTAACCAGTAGGGAGTTAGCTTAGTATTCCGTTGGATCTATGCGAAATTACACACCTGTGTAATGTCTCCTCAGTTGACTCAGGTCTCAGCTGAATGATCAGAAAACCGTGATTGAGGGTTCTAACTATACCCTCAATATTGAAGCAATGAAACCAAAAGTCAATTAAAGCACTGAACATATTATCTAACTTGATCAGATCTCTAATCTATAATTTTCGATGAGGTAGAATTCATCAAGTAGTTTTTGTTTTCCTCATTCAGAAAACATCAAAAAGCCAATTTTCAGAAAATTCAACAATTATGCAAATTTTGAAAGGTGATGTTGAACTGACTGGTTATATATTTCAGGATGATTTATTCGCAGAAATGAAATGAGATCTTATATTATAAATTAAAGAACCGCTATTATGGAAGATCAGGTTGACGAGGAGTCCCTCATCGTTCAACTTAGGACAGCCTTTCTTCAGCAAAATTTAGGTATAATGTTTTTCATATTTGTAATTTTTCAGCAAGCTGTGTGTTAATAATTACTGTGAAATGTATAAAATTATTTGCAACTTATGTCAAGTGTTTACAACTTCAATGATCGGTTTCAAATCTCTCAACATATTCAATTCGCAGAACCATTTGATAGTAGAGATGTGTCAAAGATTCGGAATGATGACAGAGCTGTACTTGCTTACTTGAAAAACTGCCGTTTTAATCTTGAGAAGGCTTTTAACATGATGGTGAGTGGTCAGTGGAATCAAGCCAATTATCAATAATATATTTAAAGATTACAAGAACATTTTTCACATCCTGTCTACGTTGTTCAGTCTTGAGTAAACCATGTATCCTAAATAACAAGTTTCCAAATTACCTACTAATCATAAGGTTTCGAAATAACTGAGTTCTTATTTTTAGCTGTGTTCTACAAACTTATCGTTGAACTATTTCAGACAGAAAGCCTGAAATGGAGAAAAAGTTTTGGTGTAAACGATATCAATAAAGAATCATTCAGCCCAGATTTACTCACTGATCCGTACCTGTATTTTAAGGGATATGGCAAACATGGCGAACCTTTGTGTAAGTAAACTTTTACTTTTTAAACTCTGACATTCAAATTTAAACCATATTATATATATGACTTAAACCATAAGTTATGACTGAACTTAAAATCTTTAAAATTGTCTCTACAATTTGCATAATACTTACTTGCTGAGAACACCTTTATAATACTCTCTGAACCTACTTCAACTCAGTGGTATTACAACTGCAATACCACAAGAAGGAATCAGAAAAACTACCAGATTTAAAGAAATACATAGCATATCTCTTAGAAAATAGGGTACGACACAAGCTGAACATATGCAGCTGTGCTCTACCTTTTACAGTGGTCTATCTTAAAATGCTATGCTATTTTTTCTTATTCAAAAGTTTGAAATAGCGTATCTTGTTTTAGCTGTGCAATGTTCATTTGCGAGCAAAGTTAGCTTAGTGGAAATAGTACAGGGTGGCTCAGAGTTAACTTCATATTGATTAAAATAGATCTGAGTAGATCTGAGTTGATCCTACACTGTCATAATGGTTTTGGAATACACCTGTTTAATCAGGCAGCCCTTTGCCTTGCAATGAAGTGCTTACATGCGGTATATTCTGGGTCACCCTGTATACTTGAACTCAAGAATGCTGAATAAAAATACTGCTGTATACTTTAGTAATCTGGGATATCCGAAGACACAAGAAGAATAATACCACTGTTAATGCTGAAATGAAAAAGCTTATGCCTTTGTTGTTAGACCGAAGGGTATGTTTTCATCAATAACTGTAATTGAAAATTCCAATACCTTCTGTAGTCTCTCTTTTTCATGTACTATTCAACAATAAAAATATAAATCTATTTTTTTAAACTAGGAGTAAGATTTTGTTAAATAGTTTAAATAAGTGATTTAAAACCGTGCGTAGTTTTGCCTCTAAATGTTTGCAACTTATTTAATTGAGCATGATTGCTGTACCTATCGCTGAACCTGCACAATGCATATCCCTCAATCTCTGGGAAAGAATCGCTAACATTTTCCTGTGCTGGCAGACATTTTTATAACTGTGAGACAATTTTCCAATTTCCATCATTATGTTACATGTGTGATTATTCAAGAATTACGGTAAGAAGTTTTGCAAATGGTTTGATCTCTCGAAGGCTAATCTCAAATTGTGGTCTCATACTCATTTACATTGCAGGAAGGAGCAAAGGATTATAAAAAAGTCATCATGCTCTTTAACATGAGCGGCTGTGGATTAAGCAATATTGTGAGTATACTCTTAAAATCTCAAGAGTTAATTATGTGGATAATTAGTAAGAGCAATTCAGACCACACACTTACATTCATCATCATGTACTTGTTGTATTTAAAACTCACGGTAATCATTTCGAGTGTACTGACTTGCCGCAGCCGGAAAATCATTATGTTCATATTACGTTCATATTATGTTCATATTATGTTCATATGTACATATTTAAAATATTTTCGAATAAATGGATCTGGTTCAAGTGGTTAGCCTCGTTTAATGTTTTTGTGAAACCTCACGATCGCTAAACCACCTCGTTTTGTTTGTTCACCACTCTTATTAGATTATTATTGTAAAATAAGACGAGCAATTTTATCTGTTTTTTGACACTACATTACTATTTGCAGGATTATGATTTTATAAAGTATCTGATCTCCCTTCTCACCGAATACTATCCTGATATTCTTGGTAAGATTGCGTTTCAGATCGGTTTTATGATTAAGAATCGTGTACTATTCATGTTTACCCATTTCTGAAAATATTGCCTCATTTCTCCGGAAAATTATGCAGAGTATTTTCACAATATAAAGTTACAAATGACCATATTATGGCCATATAATATATTATTATTCATAAATTATAAAACTTGACTCTAATCTGTTTTCAGATAACTTGCTAGTGTTTGAGATGCCCCGACTGCTATCAGGTATGGTTGTAACATGAGAAAGTAGCTGTATTGACTGACAAAGTAGCTGTACTGACTGACAAAGGACAAAACACACGCACATACTTCCAGTGACGGATATAAATAATTCCGCATCTAATTGTGTTGAGGACACGCAATGTGTGTGGTAGCCTACCAAGGCTGTCTAACAAGTTACGAAGTGGGGAGTTAAAATTGGCGGGACACTGCATCAGACATCCTGAGCTACTGGCCAGTGATTTAGTCTTATGGGAACCTATGCATGGTAAAGCACAGCAAGGCCGACCGAGACAAAGCTATTTGTCTATGTTACTGAAGGAAGTTGGGACAAACTCTAAAGAGGAACTGCGAACCCTGATGCGGGGGGTTATCTGGCGTCGGACTTAGTTCCGACCTAGTATTAGTAGTAGTTACTAATTCTGACACAAAATACTGACTACGTGCACAAAAATGACATCACTAACAATGTATGATAACTGGTATCAGCTTATCAGCTGTTACTACTGATATTACTTAGCATTTAACTTTATTCAGAAATTTTGTCACTCTTCTTAAATTATTATGTTTACAGTGTGACCTTGGATAGACCTTTGTTGTAAAATTTAGATTTTTTTTGTTTTTTCTAGATCAATTTATTGTTCATTCATTAATTTGATATAGTCAATATACCAAATCTTGACACTATACTTGATATATTTCCAATACCTAGGGAAAGATGCGTGAGCGAAAAAGTTTGCTATGAAATTAATTTGCTGAATTATTAATCACTCTAAGTCTAGATATTTCTTTCAGCTGCATGGACTATAATAAAAAACATGTTGGATGAAGATTCAAGAGACGCAATCAAGTGAGTAACATATCGTCTCTTGCAATTAATTTATTAATTGATGTATATAGTTACCTCGACAAATATGAATTAGATTTTTACCGGCTGGTTCCTTTGTCGGTTTTGCCGCGGTCTCTACGAGGTCAGACCCAATGGCCAATGCCCAATGGTAGTCATTCTTCTTCAAGAAGAAGAAGGTAGTCATTATACTCTTTATAGCTAATTGTGTTCAAAATCATTATGTTCCTGGCGCGTGAAAAATCTTTCTACAGTAATTATCCGTATAGATCAGCTTTACATTTCTAATTACATTTCTAATTGGTCAGCTGATATGCAATTCACTGTTCTTACAGTTATTCCAATTATTGATCTGCTCGCTCTGCAGTTATTGTTAGTTTCATTTACACCTAGGCTTAGTGACCTAGCATTCCTTGTAACATATCATGTTGTTCCATCCTATTAGAATTTAGAACATACTTCTAATGTCCCTTATTCTACTCAAAGTGCGTAATTAAAGTCCTCTTCTACTAGATTATATAATACTGATATTACTATTGAGGTTCACATGATGAGATCTAATGAATTCTAAAATTAGCATCAACCATCCCGCTGCTCACCTAGTACCTACTCCGCAATGTACTCATGACTAATTATCTCACAATTATCTCCTTTAAAAGGAACTTTATGAGTATCACTTGACCACCCCACGTGACCACCCACACCTTTGTTTCCATGGTAACCTTCACAGCTCCTCGTCACGTGACCAGGAAGTCGTGTTGCCACGTTGGGTGGTTACCATGGCGACAGGTTCGTTTTACTAACGCGTCGAGCGGGTGAGCTAGTAAATTAAAGAGTTATTTTCTTCCTCAATTCGTTACTTTGTTGTGTCTGCGTTTTAGTTGTTGGTCACTTTTTAGTAGTTGTTGGGTGGTGGGCGGTACAATTCTGAGATTTAATATTTAGATTAAATATCGAATCAATCATTTAAGGTGACATTGTGCCCTATAAAGCTGTCAATCTTTTTTAATCTTTGATTGTCTTGATACTAAAGAATGTCACAATTTAGACATTGCCAATAAAATGTAGTATGCTTTTACTTTTAAAGTAATTTGATACCATTTTGTGTTATAAAGCACAAACTAACGAAAGGTTTTCAAAATTTGACGTATAAAACCGGTGCTTTCTAAATCACTCCCACAATCTTGAAGATAAATTGTAAATTTTATCCAAGTCTGTTGACCGAATATAGTCTAATGATGGGTTGGTATACTCTGACGTGCTGTCTCCAAGTAACCTCCACAAAAAGCCTGCCTTTCATCTTCACAATAGGCCAGTCGTAGCCTGGTCACAAATTGTTTATGAATATGAAAAAACTGCACTAGATTGGATATAATATGTACAAATAATATATCGGCCTGTCTATTGTACAGAGGTCGATACTAGATAGATCTCCATAACAATATCAAACTAAAGCACAGTGTTATTAGTGCTTATGAGGCTTAGGGAGGAGATATTATATTAATGTTTTACAACTTATAGGTTATTTCGTGAGTTTCGTTAGGCTTTATAGAATCAAAACAGTGAACCGCCCCCGCAGCATAGTAGCTCTTTTCTTTCAGTTCAGCAATATATGATCTCATCTGAGTAAAGTTGTTCTTACAGCTTTCTGACCCATATGATAATAATTGAATGGACAATTATAGAAATTGTTTATTTTGAACTGGAGATGGTCTACAAAGGAGTTAAGTAGAATTGGATTCCTTAGTATAAGAGCTACAGTCACAATATTTTATAGATTTATTTATCTTATTTAATAAATTATAGACTAATTTATCTTATTTATTAAATTATAAACTTATTTATCTTATTTATTAAGTTATAAACTTATTTATCTTATTTATTAAGTTATAAGTTACTTATTTATCTTATTTATTAAGTTATAGACTTATCGTTATTCCTGTAGAATCAAATAAGTAATTATACTTAATTACTGTGTTGGAGATTAATGGCAGTCTGTAGTGTTGTGGTAACGCTAATCACATTAAATATATGTCAATTATTCCAATTATAATGAGGAAATGGTAATTTGAGGCTTGTTTTAGCACACTCATATCTCCAACTTTAGAAACATCGCGCCCTACCTTCTCTTCGTCAGGTCATTCGCTGATATCATATTTGTTATATTGGATGAGATTAAGTTATTATCATGTTGTTGAAATGTTGTTTGTTTTCGTGACATGTTGTAATGTTGAGTTTGGAATTGAAGATATGTACTACAAGGACTTTAAAAGCACTAATAGGACAGCCCGACCGTAAGTTATAACAAGTCATTGATGTAGATTGTTGAGCATTCAGATATGTGTGGATTTTGCACCAAAGATCTACAAGCCCGCACTGGGGAACTAATATACATATATGTACATTGTACATATTATATGTATTTGTAGTAATATGTATGTAATACTGTTTTTTACTTGTTTCCAGTCCTGTTATTTAGGCAAAATTAGTTCGTATAATTTCCTTTTGATAGATCTGGCAGGATGTTTTATAGCAGACCTACTTGTGCCGTCAATTCTCACACTTTATCAGTGATAAGGCAGGAAGTAACTGACTTTGGCTCTGTTATCTCTGTTCGTATTATCAATATCATCATTCCTTGATCCTTGATCTGTGACATTACTTTAGTGCCTTTATTAATGTCTTTACTCTTTATAATACATAGTATTAAAAGGTCTGCTTGCTTACTCGATTGTTGTCTGTGTTAGGGACAGACAATAATGATACTAACGTTAAACATATAATAATAATACTAAATTACTGCAGATGGTCCTGCACAATGTAATAGTGCAGAACCTTGTAACCAGCTAGACAAGGCCCCTTGTGCGTTATCAATCATATTGTTTAGTATCAGTCATATACTCATATTGTCCATCTATTTGTAAGTAAGTTATTGTCTATTGACTATAATTTGATTGGCTTAGTAAACCTTAGCACTTGTTTTCTTCTCCAGAATTTGTTATTGCAGAACTAAACTCTGTGGAATTGTCTTGATACCTGGAGAGGGGGATTATTTAAAACATATAAGTGATACGAAAAGTTTGTCTTGATATGATTACATATTTTGTTAGTCGTTCATTTAGAAAGGTAAGAACAACTTGCATAAAACAGTAATCAAACGTTGCGTTGATAGTTTGAATTTGTTACGTATTATCTCTGGTGAACAATAAAGTTGATACTTGATAGTCCACTTACCACACAAAGATTATTTACCTCGCATAGCATTAGGGTATACATGGACCAGCCACTGGCTATTATGAATTAACCACGGCCAATGGAACGGCATTTTCATTTTCCACTAGTTGATATTTTACCCTCGTCGTTGTAAATATGGCGTGGGTGATCGTTTGTAGAGTTAGAGCGAAGTTTATGTTTAAAATTGATGGTTAATTACACGTCATGAGATGAAATGTGGAGGTGTAAAATCCAGACACTCACCAGCCATTAGCCGGATTATAATTATTTTAATTGCAAGAATGATTAATGATCGGCTTATAACCAGGCAATAATAATGAAACGGCTGCAAATCGTCCATTAACTCACTACTAAACGTCTGCAGGCAGCAGATTACATTTACCGTTCAATATCCGATCAAGGGTTGAACAACCCACATTCCTTTCCCACGACACCAACCGTCCAAAGCTGTGAACTTTGACCACATTCTCTCGTACAATCTAGAACAATCTAAAGTAACTTCTGATCTATAACTTTATACTAAAGATGTAGATCACAATATTAAGTCTAATAAAAGGATCATATTTCACCACATTAAGCGCGCTACATAATAATGCATTACATTGTGCCTTGCTTTAAAGAATATCAAATGATGGAGTAGTTCGCTGTTTATCAGTCTCATGATTTGCTTTAAAGTTCAATCCGACCAACCATTGTCAACTGAACAAACATAATAATCTACACCATCTTTGTAGAAGTTAACAATTAGTACACATTATTAACCATCACCACATATAATACACTCTACATCTCCTGTCTTTATAAATACCAATTTTGGACATTGACCCTACTAATAAGACTCTGACTCCGAGAAATTATTCTGAACTACACAATTACAACTCATTAAAAGATCCTAGCTATACAATTACAGCTCCTCGGAGAGCCGTGGTAGCCGTGCGTTTACCCCCACGTTTAGCCATGGTCTCGAATGATCCACTTTAGCATCTGGCTCAACCCCACTGGACGACTGGGCGGTCTTCCTCCCGCTATTACTGCTCATTTAACAATTGTATGTAAACTTAGTATGTATATAATATAGAATATATACGCCCTGGAGCATCGTATTTCCTGGTAGCTACTCTATCATAACTACAGAAGATCAGTACTCTCTCTTACTGCGAGCTTAGCTCACTAATTATTATTCTGGACTCTCTGTTATGCTGTCTAGGGTATAATCAGCTCTATACGAGCAGCGAGTGTAGATATGCGTGTGTAATTATGTAATTAGCACGTGCGTGTGTATAATAAGCGCGGTACACACTTCACATGATCAACTAATCTGCTACTCCCACGTCTAATTGGTGTATAATGTAAATTAAATGGTATTTAGGAAGACGGGTAGGTAGCCAGTTCTCTGGTTCAGTCATAATTTAATCATTATGAGAGAGTGGGTGCTCTTCGTACTGTCACGTGATACGTTGGAATGTGTCTTGAAGTATATCAATGTAATTGAATAAAATAATATAACTATATCAGTTACTACTGTATATGGAGATACAGTAGGTAAAACGGATTTCTAGAATTTTAAATCGTTCGAAAATTAAAACGATCTATTTAAGATTCATCTGGCTAACTAGCCCTGAAGCTCAGTTAAATCAGTTAAGCGGTGTAGGAATTACCTGTATAAAGTGTGTTATTACCTGTAGTGTGTAACTATAACACGTGTATACACTTCCTTATAGACACGCTCCTTTTAACTACGGGTATACTTGCTTCTTATTGGGCCGCACATTACCCTTTAAATCACTAAGTGTATGTTCTACAGCTGCACCTCACTGTAACCTACTGTAACATTACAGCTCCAAAACATTTGAGAGTGTTGCGCGTTCTCCTCTGTCCACGTGCACAAAAACCTTGGTTAAGTTGAATGTACATGATAAGTTATAATGGATAAAGTAGTCGAGGTAGGGAGGTGTTGGAGAGCATGGGGTACTAAATGCCCAATAAGCCCATATCTGTAACGTGATAAAGACTTTCGAGCTTTAAGGTCTTTAAATTTATTTGAAGGTCTTAAGTGCTTATTCAAAGGATCCCTCCAAAGTTACCTTCATCTTATTGAATCGTTGCATTCTAAAAAATGACACATTGTTGGTCAGTCAGTGGAATATTAGTAAAGCTACTAGTACAAGCTCAAGCAGTCGAACAACCGTTGAATAAACCGTAAGAGGCCCGAAATCTATAATAATACTCAGTGTGTAATGTGACTGTGTGCTGTGGATAATCTAGTAAGTAGTTTGAGCCTTTCAAACCAGCACACTCTCCCTGCTTATATGGATCTGCTTACATAGCAATTACATTTAGTATTCATGAGATTGAGATGTTGCAGCAGTGAGGGCTGAGTCGTGTCATAATAGTTATTTATTCATTTACTTGTTAGCTTGATCTATGTTATTTTCTAGTACTGAGTTATTAGATGTTTCTGATATGATTAAACGTTGTAGAATCGAATAACGGAGTAGTTCGCTGTTTATTAGTCTCATGATTGAAATACTGATATCTGGATATTATCCGGTTGGAAGAGACAAGGACAAGTGAAACAAGGAAGTTAGGAGTAAGGGCAAATTTTCGGCGTCAACGCCATCTTCAGGCTAAAATTGTTATAAATGTTAGTATATAATAAATGCTTCTATACTAGTTAAAATGCTAAATTAAAATTACACACACTGAATACAGGTTACATCAAATTATATTATACATTACATTGAAAATAGTGATGTACACACGTTTTACACTCTGTCCAAGTACATAATATCTACTGAACAGCAGGGTCGTGTGCTATTTGTTTAAATTTGTCTTTGAATATGTTGTAAAAGAAATCCCTTAAGCTTCTCGCACTCTTCTTTGTTATTGATACTAGGTTTAAATAAATTAATGTAGTAAGCTTCTGTCACTTTACGTTTAATGGTGCTATATAAGTTAATTTCTAAAATATCGAAGGAAATATCTGGTTCTATGTTATCGTGAAACTCTGAATAATGAGCAGCCAACGCATTATCAGGATAGGTTAAAGGCCTGTTGACTGCTCTTCGATGCTCTGAAAATCTATCGTGTGCTGTTCTACTCGTTTCCCCTATATATAGCTCTTGACATAATTTACACGTAACTTTGTATATGACACATTTTGGTTTGCAGTCGTGATTTGTTGTGATGAGTGGACATATGATACAGTTTGGTATGGTGCAGTGTGGTTTGTCGTGTGGTCGTGATGAACATAAGATCTCTGAGAGTTTCTTACCTGGTGTGAATATGAATTTGACCGGTAAGTTGTGTGAGAGGGCAAATTGAGTGACTTCTTTGGAAAATGGCTCGTTGATGAATGGTAGAGTGCATGTTACGTGGTCGGTATCTTGTATGTTTGATGATGAAGGGTTATGACGTGTTGTAGGTGAGAGAGGGTGAAGTCGTCCTGTTTTGTTTATACGTCGTGGGTCTTGGTAACCGTTGTTGACCAACAAGTTGTCTACTATCTTCATGGACTCTTCTTTATACTCTGGTGTTGATGAGCAAAAAGCAGCCGTTTTGTAGAAGTTCTTGATGGTTGCTACTTTAGTTCCCTCATTGTGGTGGCTGTTGGCGTGCAGTGTGATATTCTTTTTATGCTTCTTTCTGTAGAATTTGTGGTGTAGTGTTCCCTGTTCGTCGATCTTTATCTGGGTGTCGAGGAATGGGGTGAAATCCTGACGGCTTTCATTATTCAGAGTTTCACGATAACATAGAACCAGATATTTCCTTCGATATTTTAGAAATTAACTTATATAGCACCATTAAACGTAAAGTGACAGAAGCTTACTACATTAATTTATTTAAACCTAGTATCAATAACAAAGAAGAGTGCGAGAAGCTTAAGGGATTGCTTTTACAACATATTCAAAGACAAATTTAAACAAATAGCACACGACCCTGCTGTTCAGTAGATATTATGTACTTGGACAGAGTGTAAAACGTGTGTACATCACTATTTTCAATGTAATGTATAATACCATTTGATGTAACCTGTATTCAGTGTGTGTAATTTTAATTTAGCATTTTAACTAGTATAGAAGCATTTATTATATACTAACATTTATAACAATTTTAGCCTGAAGATGGCGTTGACGCCGAAAATTTGCCCTTACTCCTAACTTCCTTGTTTCACTTGTCCTTGTCTCTTCCAACCGGATAATATCCAGATATCAGTTGTAGAATCGAGACGCGGTTTTATTTTCTAATAGAATATAGCACTCTAGCATATTGGAAAATATTAGAAAAACAAGCGGTTATTATTTCTGTGTATGACTTTTATGTGTTATCATGTGTTCACCAGCGCTGAGTAAGATATGTTAAGAGGAAAATGTAATGAGAACTGAGGATGAAATATGACTGTCAGAATGTTCTAGATTGAATTTAGCTTGTATTTCATTCCTTTACAAAATAAGGACATACTATCTCCTGATATTTACTAATATTTGAACCATGAGCCGACACCGGACAGTTAACCAGATGTTAACAACAATCTTGGCTTTGACTTTAACAAATATCGGCCTCTTCAAACTAGTGACTAGTTTGGTAAAAGGTTAAAGTAAATACTTCTATAAAGTATAAACTATAAAGGTATTGACTGGTATTTGCAGATTATTTCAGCTTACTTGACCTATCATATACATTATACATGACTTTGGTAAGCCGCTTGTTTCTGAATGGCTGTTAAATCTTAAACTGTGTATTACAAAGAGTCTCGACTCTCATTTGAGATAACACAGTAAATATGAGATGACGTCATAACGACAGTCAGTCTAACAAGAAGTTAGTCTAAACTTGGTCAGTGGTTATAATAAACATATCCACCACCGACAGTACACTTGATTCAAATCAGTTGATTGCCCGTATTATTAAGACAAATGACCAGCCGTCTCGTAGTCAGTGTATCACAGGAAATGATATTACACATTGTTTGTGCGCTGTGTAATATCATTAACACACAAGAGGCCGGTACAGGGTTTGTGCACATACACCACCAGTATTATTACATGCACCTGCGCTTGGAGTTTAGGTGAACATGATTGAGTCACCCTTTTGTTCACCACTAATTGGCAGTGTGTCAGTGCATGATGAGTAGTGTACGTCTGCCACGCTGCAATTATCGCGTGTCTGTTTGGTAGGGGAGTCTGTGAACAGTACGAGATATGGTTTGTTATAATGTAGGTAATATCTAGTAGATAATATTTAGATACAGTAGCTTTTATTAACTGTCAGCTGGGGGCTTGTAAAAGTACACTTATAGTGTTAATAGTATTACTAGTGTGAGATAAGTGGTAGCTACACACTACACAGGGAGAGAGCCCCAAGGGGCTAACTTGATAATAATATGTAAAGGTCGCAGTACACTCAATATCACGCGGGTATTAATTATGTTCACTTTGTTTGTTTCCAACATGATCAGTCTGTCTCAGTCAGAAGACCAGCTGTTGTAGCATAGTTTTAAAGAGGAGTGTGCGTAAATACACCATTATCTGTTATTGTATTGATCATTTCGAGTGTGTCTGTTTTATGGACTTAATTGTTACATTTCACATTAATTTACTCTTTGGAAATGAATTTATTTCATTATCTTGGTTACTAAATGGTTATAATTTTACCAAAGCTTTGCCGACTTAACTCGAGTGCCAAATGCCAATCGTTTAGATACGACCATGTCCGTCGTAGAAAGATATCATTTAAGCCTTAAAAACAAACAAAATACAAATTACAAATTCCCTTTTTGTAGAGAAGTTGTTGAATATTATGGTTTCCAATCCATATTTGTATTTATTCAGTTGACCGTACCTGTCAATTTGATTAGGTATATCAGAAATATTTCTGGAGAATAAAATGAAAAATGGTAGCTTTTAATCAGCCAGCTTTGATAGGAGACCTGCTGAATGCGGGAACTGTCCTATAACACCTGTGGTGTCAAACCTAAATTTAATAATTATTTTGTTAATTATTCTAACCGATCTTGTTTAGGTTCGTAAACAAGTCAGACGTGTTAGAGTATGTTGAGAAAGATCAACTGCCCATATCTCTAGGAGGAACTGTAAGTAAAAATCAACATATTTAACATAATCATCATAACCAAAATATATGAACATTCTTACTTTGAACATTTTGACTTATTCTAAGAGTTTTTTATCAGAATAAAACATATATATGGATTCTTGTTTCCGGGAAGCCGCATGCATAAGAGATAATATATTTGATAAAGCCGACTGTTTGAACAGATGTTTTAACTTCTAGTTGTGAAAGTCAAAATATTTTCGGTTTCAAATTTCATTTGAAGCCCTTATCTCATATCGGTTTATATTACAGAACGAGGTGGCTGCTACAAAGTAAGTGCAACTTCCTGTTCGGCTGATGACGTATTATTGTGATGATATTAACGAAATTAGTTAAAAATAGATGGGGAATTTTTACGATGCAGACAGATGATATTATTATGTTGGTAAAATCACCTTTCAAACGCAGAAAATTTGCCCCACTATAACATTCCTGCATGATGTACGTGGCCAAAGAGTATTGAAGTTTTGATTTATTTATGAGGGCGTTTCTGAGGAATTTGGCTTTAAAGATTGTCATTTTGGGTAAATCTATTCATTTTGGCAGCGTCGGAGCATCTTCAGACGGTTGTCATCACCAAGTGAGACAAAATCCCGATTCGCATATTGGTCGAACGCTTCATTCCCAAATAAGGCTTTCCCATACGCGATTCTAAAATTCTTGGTTTTGTGACATAACATCGCATTATGTCCACTTTTTGACGAGTGTTCATACTTTGCGTAACGCGCGATGACTGTACTGTGACGCAATGGCTTTTTACAGTGCTCAGTGTTTTTTTGCGCGTCTTTCGCGCGCAGCTCTTATTTTGAATTTTGGCATAATTTTATCAGATCATTTCTGAACAGTCATGATCGGCACTCATTTTACACATTTTCACCCTTCCTAACGTGTTGTTTCTTTTGCAGTGTTATGGAGAATGAGTTCCAAAGCTTAGTTGACAAAAAGGTATGATTAGTGGTGTTAAATCGACAACTCACGACTGACACGCACAAATTAATGTTGTTGTGACGTGTCACATGCGTCTTACCCCTACTCAGCTAGCTTAATTGTATTTTCTATCGTAATTGTTAGCGTGTAAATGATATGTAGTTTTATTTAGCCTGCTTCTTAACTTGCTTGATCACGTGCTGATTGAAATCTAAACCAGCAAGTGACGTTTACTCAGCAGACGTCACCCCGCCGTACACAAAGTACTACAAGCTCAGATAGCAAGACCTCTCCCGACAAGAATATGTCCCCTCTTCAAGTCACGTGAGTAGTTTCGGGTGACTCCATTTATATCAGAGTAGGTTCTGATCAGTAATTATGTCGATTTTCAACAATTTTGAAGATATAGTCATTGGGGGCATTGTCGAAGTTCGGATTTTGATCGTTTTCGTAATCGAGTCTTATCTTATCATGAAATAAACCATCAAACTTTATTTCAGGCCACACGACACTCTGACATTTAGTGTTCAACAATCGAACGCCGAGTCACTGCCACAGGCAATTAAAATGGTAAACAATCGTGAAGTTCAAGTTGCATACAAGGTGAAAACCACAGCCCCAGAACACTACAGAGTGAAACCAACAGTCGGAATCATTGAACCGGGCCAGGAATGTGAAGTCTCAGTTCAGCTTACCCCTGGTAAGAAATGTATATATATATTGGTGTTAATCTATGAATCTGGGATAACCCCGTAAAAAGTTCAGTATTCAAGCTGCTGAACAGCCAGCGTCAAATAATGAGTGTGGCTTGCCTAGAATAATCTAAGCGATTCTCTAGTCTTCCACTAAATTCCGCAATACTAAGGACAGTGAGAGAATGTATAATCTATTGTAACTGTGACGTCTATAATTGTTGCTCATTAGTGTTCTGTGCACTGCTCAGTGCTCGCAGTGCTTGTACGCTAATCACGTACCTAGTTCCGATAAAGCAATTTAAGCGGAATAATTACATTCATTTTGAAGAGCTCGTCTGTGCTCTGAACATTGAGAGAAACACCCCGCGCTGGTCACATCCAATTAAGTCGTTTAGGGGTGTTTTATACTTTCTGGTTCTTACTGAAATTGATTGTTATAATTTGTTCAAGATTTGTTAGTTTATTATTTTCAGGAAGTGCTGTTACAGCCAGCAGGGATAGATTCCTCGTTCAGTGTACTGAAATAACATCACCTTTTAAAGGTGATATCACCGAGTACTGGAGATCTGTTGAACAAGGTGAGCATACTTTTTCGAACATGTTTGTTATCTCTGATCTGGATCTTGCTGCGGTCTCATTGGTCTCCAATCTCTACTTAGTCCCTGCTTCTAATTTTCTAATTAGACATACAGTAAAGAGATAATTGAAATCTGTACCGCACGTTTAATCTTTATAATGTACTTACGGTTGTGTTCACTGTTCATGGAATGTATTCATTTTGTGGATTTCGTTTAAGTTGAAATTTGTTATCTTACATATTCTTATCTTATCTGTCTTCATATTATCAGTTTTGATTGCCCATAATTACAACTTAGCATTGCTGCACAGTGCACAATGCATCCAAATAACTTTTGAGGAAAGATTGGTGCAACATTTACAAGGCTTCCAGGAAACTTGATAGATTATACTTGATTTTGATATGATTATTGATTGCCATATTAATAGATCATAATTGATGTTAATGTGATAATCATAAACATTGTCAAGATATTTTTGTAAGCAGAGAAGCTCCTTAAATAAAAGTTAATCGCATTGGAAGTGGCAAGTCAGTTACAATTTAACAGCCAAAAAACTAAAGCAATCACCAAATCCAGGCAAGGTAACCGAACACAGACTACGATGTAAGGTAGTGATGAATGGAGTCCCATCGAAGAGAAAGTTGATCATCTGATGAGCAACTCCATGCACATTGCTCAACCACCCAACGTTGCAGATAGGCTACTTGCAATCGAAAACAAGGTACGGGAATCAAGTGCATGTTTAAATTGCGTTTTTAAGATATTTTAATTGATTTTAATGGATTTTTTCAAAATACAAATTTTGAATCGGCTAAGCAGGGGGCAACTTATGATATTAGTGACACCGAGATAAAAGAAATAAAGGTGTATTGATTACCGCTATTTCGGTATTAAAGACTAATTGAGTCTAATCACTAATGCAATGCTGTGAGGATACAATCAGAAGAACTAGCTAAATGTGAAGCAATAGTGTTTAAATTTCGTTCAATGTTTTCTTAACCATCCCTTGTTTAGAAATTGTATTTAATAATAATTAATTTTCAGTTAAAATCGTTAGAGCAGAAGGCAGAGGCCACTCATCGCCAGACAAGAAACACACTTGTTATCATTCAGGTCAGTTTTAAGAAATGTAAATTGTTTGCTGATTTTAATGATTATTCAAATTTGTTATCTCAATTCCTATGTTCTCAGTCTTACACTAACAACATATTATATGATAATCTTCTAATGCACATTTTAAATGCTATAATTTGTGTTAGTAAACTACATTTAACAACTAAACTTGCATATTTCAGATATTTTACCAATCATATATTTCAGATATTTCTAGCGGTGTCGTTAGTTTACATTTCGTACCTGCTATACCAAGAATACAACCTATTACAAGAGTCTATAGCTACAGATGAGCCTGCTGTACAATCCGTACCCAATCAGGAGTTGTGATTCAATAATTAGTTAATTAGTTAATTAATTGGTTTGTGACCGGCTTACTATACAGGACTCGACCGACTGAACTTTAAACCCGAAACTATTAAAACCCAATTTTAAACCGTACGGTTTTTATCGCTATCATGCTGTGTTCGATGATAAAAGATTCCATTTTATGAGAAGAGTCTCTGTCTATGTTTAGCATTTGATTTGCATTTTGGCTATTAAATTATTCGTTAACTGTGTAATTTGAATTAACGCCTATTTGGGGACTGATATAGGGTCGCGGCGTATTCTCATTCCAGGATTAACTTGTAGGTTTGTCCTATTTCAGGTTGGAATTTTTGAGAAATTATTATGACTCACTTGATTTTGAATTTTAGGTTAGATTATTGTTGCCCTATTCAAATGCCTGAGATGTTGTCTAGGATTGAGCTAAATGTAGATTTTACAAAAGCCTGGATTATGGACGGGGAAGTATTTGAAGTTTCCTTGACAATGATGACAGTGATTTGTTGATCTGCATTCTGTATGTCAGGGTCACGTGTCATATTCAGTAACTTGTATTACGTCACTTGTATTACCTCCCCACTTCAAGTCGCTAGTTTGTTGAAACATGTTGCCGTTATTGATCCACGTGCTTGAATCGAATAAAAACATTTGATCGTTGGGATTTCACTACCGCAACTACTAAAAGTGCAACGTTTTTAATAATGATTATGTTTAAGTTTTAGCGTTTACGTGACAGTTTAATAAGTATCGTTTTCGACCGTGATAAGTTTTTCAAAAATGATTTAAGATAAATTGTAACCAAGCTGTGTTTATGTATGGTGGTTAGTTTCTCGTCAATGTATAAACTTGAAATGTGTTATTGGATTATATGTTGCTGATATGAAATGAAAAATCGTTTAAAAAATTGGTTTCTTTGTGCCAACTTTTTCAACAATAAAAATACAAGAGAATTTTAAAAGGGATAAATACAGTCAATTTTTCTACAGCAAAATTAACCACAAACCAAATCTTGACAACTTCAAAGGTGTAAATTTTCATCGGACACAAATAACATCAACTCCATCGATGGGTAAGGCGGCCCTTACCCATCCATGGAGTGTTACAGCTAAGGGGGTTACCAAATACTTGCGGTAGGTCACACTGAAGGGGTCTGGGGTCTTGTTCAACTGAAAGGCCCCATCAAATTGACACCAATCCATCAAGCAAATCTGTTGTCAGTTGACAATCCAATAGTTGTAGTGTCGCAATAACACGAGGTTGTAAAGTTATTGTAAAAATGTCCTCAAACTCATGCGTTGATGAGTATCTGGAATTCATCGAACGTGATCTTCCCATCTCCATTTAGATCAGCCAGTTTAAACATGTCCTCTAACTCCTTATCACTGAGCGTTTGGTCGGGGTTCACGGTGGCTAACACCTGTTTCAGCTCTTCCTTGTCAATGTGACCGTCACCGTTCTCATCGAACATTTTAAACGCTTCCTTTAGTGACTCCTCGTCGCCCATCATTTCGTGCCTTTCCTCTGCCTCCTTCACCATTAGAGCAAACTCAAGGTAGCTAATTAGGCCGTCTCCATCTTTATCAGCGTCATTTATCATCTCTTTACACTCTTCAGGCGACAGAGCTTGTCCCAGTTTCTCCATGCACTTCTCAAATTCACTACTACATATCGTCCCGTTTCCATCCAGGTCAAACCTAGTGAACACTTCCCGCAGCTCTTTAAGCTCCGCCAACTTTACTTTCTTCAGTACTGTAACTGCTACACGGAACTCTTCTGCATCCATTCTCCCATTTAGGTCCTTATCTGCACATGAGATAATGAACTTGAGATCATCTTTGTTGTATCTGCCTCCCAGTGCTTTTTTCATACACTTGCCCAGCTCCTTGCCACATAGAAACCCATCTCGGTCCTTGTCGAATGCTTTGAAGATTGCCTCGTAATTCATCACTGTACAGGAATTTGCGAGATGAGAAAAGATAAAAAGTGTGATATCAAGACTGGAAATATATTTAAGTGAACCTACTGAAAAATGTTCCATACTTGCAAAGCAGTCAAAACTTGTGAAAATTACTCCATTACTGAAAATTACGAACCTAAGCGCAGTGCATTTATTTCCATAAATCAGAGATATTAGAGCAAATCAGAGATAAGAGCAAAATGGTGGCAGAGAGCCGGTAAACTAATGATGATACCAAACTAAATCATTCCGTCACGGAGATGGCACAAAAAGAAAAGTGTAAACTCTGATTTTCTTTAATTTATGAATATTGTCCAATCTGTTTTGTCTTTGATTTAAATGCCTAAAATTGGTCAATACTCAAAACAAAAAACTGAAGATCGCATCGGATCGAACTATCATTCTTGCTCATTCTACTGACGAGATCGTTGCTCTGCGAAGGGTTGACATCGTCAATCAAGCTACTGATCACTGAAACAGGTCCATGTCGACGATCGTCGAACTTGAGTTTGACATGACCAATGTGAGATCAAATTAGAAGCAATACCATGCAATAGTAAAATAATACATGGGCGGCTCTGAATTTAATAATCCCCTTTCCGGTCCACCCTGTGTACCGTTTAATGAAACCAATTTTATCATTGTTCAAGCTTTTGTCGCTGGATTAGCTTTTAATTTGGTAGACTGAACATGAAAAATATTATATTATCTTCGTAGCTTGTTGTTAATGACTTGGCTTTTGGTTAATTTGATCCGCGTGAAACTAATTTTCAGCTCGAATCAATGATACAATTTGGCCGCTACGTAACATGAACTGTACAGTACAGCACAGCCACAACACAACTAAACTCATTCGGTGCCTGACGCCTGATCTGCCTGTAGAATTAACTGTGGAATGTGGTGTTACTGTCCTAATTTGTAATTCAGGCTGACATTTTTGACAAATTATTGTGACTTACTAAACTTTTATTTGTCGATCAGCATGTCATGTATAGCTATAAGCTTGAAATGTGTTATAGGATTATATTATGTTGCTGATATGAAATATTGAAAAATCGTTTAAAAATGTGTTATTTTGTGCACTTTTTCAACAATAAAGACACAAGGTAATTTTGAAAGGAATATCTACAGTCAATTTGTCTACAGCTAAAGTGACCAGACTGTTACAAATTCAAAGCTATAAATAATCCACAAATAACATCAACTCCATGGATCGGTAAGGGGTTATTAAAGACTTGTTGAGTTGTGGTAGGTCACACTGAAGGCTGGGTCTGGTCCTGTTGAACCTCGAATATTGACACTTGTCCATTGGTAAGGACTAACCAGGCGCTTTGCCTGGAGTCACATTTCGAAGAAATTAAAACCGCATCATCCGTGAAATTGAATCCAAACTTGTTAACATGATCAAGCAATCTATAGTCAGTTGCTGTTGACAATCCAATAGTTGTTGGGTTAAAATAACACGAGATTGTAAAGTCATTGTAAAACTGCCCTCAAATGTTGATGAGTGCCTTGAACTCCTCAAACGTGATCTTCCCATCTCCATTCAGATCAGCCAGTTTAAACATGTCCTCCAACTCCTTATCACTGTGCTTTTGGTCGGGGTTCATGGTGGCTAGAACCTGTTTCAACTCTTCCTTGTCAATGTGACCGTCACCGTTCTCATCAAACATCTTAAACGCTTCCTTTAGTGACTCCTCGTCGCCCATCATTTCATGCTTTTCCTCTGCCTCCTTCACCATTAGAGCAAACTCGAGGTAGCTAATAAGGTCGTCTCCATCCTTATCAGCATGATTTATCATCTCTTTACACTCTTCAGGCGACAGAGCTTGTCCCAGTCTCTCCATGCACTTCTCAAATTCACTACTACATATTGTCCCGTTTCCATCCAGGTCAAACCCAGTGAACACATCTCGCAGCTCTTTAAGCTCCGCCAACTTTACTTTCTTCAGTACTGTAACTGCTACACGGAACTCTTCTGCATCCATTCTCCCGTTTAGGTCCTTATCTGCACATGAGATAATGAACTTGAGATCATCTTTATTGTATTTGCCTCCCAGTGCTTTTTTCATACACTTGCCCAGCTCCTTGCCACATAGAAACCCATCTCGGTCCTTGTCGAATGCTTTGAAGATTGCCTCGTAATTCATCACTGTACAGGAAGTTGTGAGATATAATAAAAAAGATCAGAAGCGTGATATCAAAACTGGACAAAATATTAATGTGGACCTAATGAAAAATTGTACATACTTGCAAAGCAGGCAAAACTGATGAAAACTCCATTACTGACAATTTCGAACCTAAGTGCATTTATTTCTATAAATCAGAAAGCAAATGGTGACACACAGCCGGCAAATGATCATTATACCAAAATAAACCATTCCGTCACGGAGATGGCACAGAAAACGAACATGAAATTTTAAATTCGTAGTAAATCTACAAAATTTTCTTTCGTTTAAAAGTTATGAATATTGTCCAATCCGTAATAGAAAACATCGAAGAAAACTTCAAAGACAAAAAACAAACAAAAAATTCGACATATTCTAAAGGCTACTGAGACAGATTTATGTCGACAATCATTGACAAAGAGAAACAATGCCATGCGTATAATAATAGTAAAATAATACATGGGCGGCACCTAACTTTAATGATCCCATGTCCAATCCACCCTGTGTACGTTTAATCGAACCAATTGTTTAAATGTTTTCATCATTGCCCAAGCTTTTGTTGCTGGATTAGCTTTTTAATTTGGTAGACTGAAAACTATCACTATCACATTGTCTTTGTAGCTTGATGTTAATGACTTGGCTTTTGGTTATTTTGATCCACGTTTGACTAATTTTCAGCTCGAATCAATGATATAATTTTGTCGCTACGTGAAGTGAACAGTGCAGCTTCTACCTATGTATAATTTACTTTAGACCGTGATGTTACTCATTACTGTTTGAGGCTTGAGCACGTGGATTCACTTGTAACTGCATGTGTAATTGCTATACTTATAGCCAATGCTTATTCTGTTATATACGGAATCTGCAATTCATAGTCTGAGAGTTTTTACGGTTTTGCAGCCGAACGTGAAAACGATTTTATATAAACCCTAACCACAACCCTAACCCTATAAACCATAACCATGAAGCTAATCATAACCATCGGAGTTGTGTTTTACTATATAGCATGTCACGTGACAAACACAGTTTTTCCCGTAACTCCTCGGGAAACATTATACCCTGGATGGATGGTGAATCGGTGTCCAAAAATATATCTACAGAAGTCAATTTCGTACCCTTAAGGCCATTAAACAATTGCATAAGGGCGTGGTCAAAAGGGCAATTTTACCAATCTCATTTTTTCGGTTCTATACTCTATAGACCTTTGATCAGTTTGAGCATCCCAGAAAATATTCAGCACTCTGCTATGAAATAAAGTTGATTTTCCCTAACTGACCACAACCAGACTAATTAACCTTAAACTAAATCTAAAAAGGTTCAAAAACTAATGACACGAAAAAATGGCAATTGGGATCACCTTATTATCAGTTATAATTTATTACACGATGGAAACAATGCACTGTGGAAATCATGCACACTTTTCCATCACAAATCATATCATTTTGATAAATTTTTAGTAATCCAATCTGGCCGTTGTCGGCACAAAATATTAACATAAGAAAGAGCAAAAACATTGCAACGTGAAATGCAGTAATACATGACACAGCATGTATTATTACAAGACCGCGTCAAGAAATGACTTAATGACAGTTAAATCAACTTGATTGTATTTGTAACACCAATTAAATCATCGCAAATTAATCCGATTCAAATAATCAAATTGGAACCTTTAGGTAACTGTATACGGCAAAAACTGCGTGTTTGGTGCAATCACAAATCTCCAGTACTTATTAAAAATAAACTTTTTGGTATGAGGATGTAATAAGATTAAACTTAAAGATATGATGCCTATTTTAATCGAATCGTTGAGCTGCATTGTCTCACGTTGCTGCACTGTTGTTGCTGCATTGTCTCACGCTGTATTGTCTCAGATCACGTTATACACCGTCAAAATTTGTAGAGTAGATGGACATATTAATATTTGTTTACTGATGATCGTGACAATTATACAAACATCGTAAAAGTTAAAACCAACAATTTCAAATGCACGAATTGTAGATATAAGATATTGCAGCTTTGATTTAAAAATCCTTTAGTAATTTAATTTAAGCTGCAGGTCTTCATAACTTAAAGTTCATTAATTTAATGAAAAACGACTCGTACTCTTTATTACAAACAAGATCAAATGTTTACCAATTAACTATAATTATATAACTGTATAAAAACCTGCAATGCAATATGAATGAAACGTTATATTAGCGTAAAGGCTAAATTAAATCATATATTAATACGGTAATCTCATAATCTGGCACGTTTAACAAAATTGGTCGTTTTGCACATGCTCTACCAGAGAGCCACCATTAAATTGCAGCTGTTGTGAATTCGTATAATTTGCCAATTTCGTGCATCTTCAGAAATTTGTTCAATAAAATTCCTGCAACCAAATTCTTGTAATAAATGGTGCTTCTCTCATGTTGAAAGCTTTCATATGCTTGATCGGCTTTTTTACCGACACCACAAAATAAAACAAAGATAACGCGATGCTATAATACTGCTACAATTACAAAGACTCGTACACCATATAGGTCTTTGTGTTTTCTTGATGACTGGCATTATTTGAGTATATTAATGGTACATACATTGTATTGTATTAAATCTTCATAGTTTGTGATACTGATAGACACTAAAGAGCTAAGCTAGGCCACACAAAAGATGGTGTTCTGCCGAAAAATTCATGAAAATACACTGCAACATTTCGTAATTGAATACTTTAATACCGTATTATTTGAGTACTAGTGTAACCCGTGCCTACGGCCGGGACTTCACTATCGCAGTTGAAGTGCAAAAATATAAACCCGCCTATTATATTCGAACGAAATGATAAAGCACAAATTAAATAAAAGTAGAACTTGACTGTCAGCTGAACAATATAGAAACAGTCTCCTTCCTATTACTACGTTGTGTGATCATGCAATAACCCCTAATTCTCTAATTGCTAATAGTATCAGTTAGGGCAATATGGATAATATTTTCTGAGAACTAATTTGCCACAAGCATTTCTGTGCCGAAATATGTTGTCCATAGTCCCAGGAACCACTCCAAAGAGTTTTAAAAGTAGATCCGATTGGAACAACTACTCAACTAGCCAGAGCATATTTTCTCCTAAGAATAAACTTCAAACATTTGTTTCTGCCATAAGGAAAGCTTTCAGGAGAAAATGGCAGCGTGACTTCGCATTACAATCTATTTTAGCAGCTCTGCAAAAGAAACATAAAAGCATGGTCAGTAAAGCCGGATGATGTAGTCGTTGTTGCGAATCCTTCATTTGAGAATCGCAGTTTTTGTCGCCACTGGCTATCATTATTTTTTGACACTATGGTCGATTTAGTATAAGCTTTAGTATCCCAACAGGCTATATTGAAAAGAAATATTAAAACTTTAACTAAAACAAGAACAACTTCTTTTTTAAAGCAATATAGAAAGCAGACGCTCGGTATTACTGCTAGTGCTACAAATCTGCAATGTACGAATCTGAGATAACACACAGATGGCCAGAAAACACACAGCTGCAGCTAGATACATCACCATTGCACATCTTTTCATATATTGTACATGATACCCAGTAGCCATATCATGTAATATAATGCACAATCTGTACATGTAAACTGTAAAGATCAACTGATAACAAGGTATTCGCAACTCTAACAAGAAGGCAGCTGCACGAGAACCACTACTGACTACATGCAAATGATCTGAACGTAACCAATGACTCCTGTTGTACATGTGGAACCTTGACTTTAACCTTGTTAAACTAATATATAAGTATTGGTCAGCTTATTTCTGGGCGGATCAAGCTGAGGGCGGTATGAATTATGGTCGGGCCTAATTATAAGCAGATGTAAATTTCTTCAATATAATATGTCACACACGAGTTTTATTTTTGCAACCTTCAAAGAATTTCGACTCTTCGGATATAACTTTTGGTCGTCAATAAATTCCATGATTGTTGGTTTCATTTGAGCTAAATCAAACAGTAAGTATTAAACGAACTACAAACTAATGTAAAGAATAACCGGCAAGTTTCCATAAACGATATTTTATGATCGGCGCCGATAATCGCTTATTGAGCGCTTTCTCGGCGCTTTTTTTTTTAAAAACCGTTTATAATCGATTTTTTTACGATTATAAACGGTTCAAAAAAAAATCGCTTATAATCGACTATAATTGATGTCATAATTCAAAAAAGCGCTTTTTTGAATTTAAAAGCGCTTATAAGCGCTTTTAAGCGCTTACTAGCGTCGCTGAGCGATTTGAAAGCGGTTTTCCAGTAGGATTGGCGCCAAAAACGGGTGGATAAGCGGTTGGCCGGATAAGCGATTCGTAGGCGCTTTTTTGAACCATTTATAAGCGATTATAAGCGCTTATAAGTGGGGTACAATTTAGCTGTTTGTAAAGCGCAAATAAAGCGCTTATAAGCGCTTTTAAAATTGAGTCAGGAAAACGCTATATTACATCTTATAACCGCTTATAATCGATTATAATCGCTTTTTTAGAAATCGCTTATAACGGCTAATTCATCGCTATTTTACCGCTTTTACCACTTTTCCTATCATCCATGGCCAGGTGAGCAGGAATTAAAAAGCGCTTATAAGCGCTTTTTCGATGCTGCCCCTAACCTGGTCGGAACGGGGTAGTGCCCGGAATTTAAAAGCGCTTATAAGCGCTTTTTCAATGCTGCCCCTTACCTGGTCGGAACGGGGGAGTGCCCGGAATTAAAAAGCGCTTATAAGCGATTTCTCAATACCCCTTTACCTGGTCGGAACTGGAAATCAGAGTGCCCGCTTATAAGTGCTTTTCTGTGCAACCTGGGTCTGGGGTGCACCGGCAGAGTCAGGATTTAAAAGCGCTTATAGGCACTTATGATCGCTTTTCTACCGCTTTTCCTATCACCCATGGCCTGGTTGACAGGAATTAGAAAGCGCTTATAAGCACTTTTTCAATGCTGCACCTAACCCGGTCGGAACGGGGGAGTGCCCGGAATT